TGATCATATAATACCAAATGGAGGACATCAAATTCCCTTCCAAAGACAGACAGACAACATCCTTGGGCAACTTCCCACGAACAACAATTAGTTATCAGGCCATAGATGTTACATAATTAGATGACTACCGGAGGTTAGGCCTCTGACACAATCTGAAGGCTGTGAACCCAGCTGAAGTTATGTTTGTTCATGGACATTAACTTCTTCTGGCCCAGGATCCTGACCCTGATGCGTACAAGCCTTGGGACTGATATCAGAGACTGCCCTTAACTTACTAAACCAGGATCCCTTGACTGAGGCGGTTTCCCTTGATTTAACCAATGACAGCTGACAACCATGACAAGTTTCCTGGCTTTGTGGCTAAACTGCAAGACAAGACATAAGTGATGGGAGCTTGGTATTGTAGGGTGCCAAAGCACAACAATGGACCATAAGGCAGGGATGTTGTGAGCATCCAGGCAGGCACAAAGTGAGTGAGTGCTATGGGAGGAACAGAGCAGTGCTGGGACGCAGCCTGGTCCAGTCTGTGAGCTGCGCGCAAAACGACCCTGTGGCAGCATTTCAACGCAAGTTGTCAGTGCACCCCAAAGTGCCACTTTAAAGTGCGGAAGTAGCGTGTAAGTGGATCGATGGGGTGCCGCGAGGATCCTGACAGGCTGACAAGTGTCCATCACCAGCATCTTTGGACAGTGGAGAGGTGAAGACCGGGGTTGAGTGTGGCAAGTTGCCCTAGACTGTGCCCTGAGATGTTGTTGCCTAGTCTCCAAGATGGCGGCCTAGAAAGCCAAGGGAACAACTGAAGTTGCCAGGTACCTACTCTGTCTTTCACGTGGGTGGTGCTGACATCTAATTTTCTCATGGCACGTCATAGAGTCGGAAGCTGTCCAGTAATGAGCAAATACATGAACAAGAAATATTCCCTGTTGAGAGGAATCTTGCCACTCATTAGACAGGATCTCATCTCAACATCCAGAACTCTGTTTGAAAATGCAATGAGTTGCTCTCAACGTCGAAAAAAGCCTTGACCGACTCCTCACATGAATGCAAGAAATTTCGGCGAATCAAGCTCTTTTCAGATTTCACCCAAAGACTCTTTGCCTAAGCCGACAGTGCTTCTCCAACAATTTCTAGACTTGCAGGTTTCTTCCATGCCATTATTGGAGATCTATATATTAATGTTTTCATAATAATGGTTCATTACTTGGCAGGTGAAATGGGATTGAAGATGCAAATTTAAAATGCTTCTCTGCATACCATTTTATGAAAAGCCAAAGTTAAATATGTGGCTTCATGCTTTATTTTGCCTAAACGGCAATGGAAAAATAAAGATTGGAAGCAGTGAGATAGAGACAGTGACTAAATTAAAATACCTTGTATCACTGATAAACAGGTTGCAGCCAAGAGTGAAATCCATGTGACATGAGCTGGTACAAGATCAAAACCCATGACTTAAGTAGCACCTGGAAGTCTAAAGCATCAGCATAGGACTGAAAACCTGTCTAGTACAGATAGTGGTGTGCAGTATTGCACTTTGCTCTTGCCACAATTAGACTTTGAAGAAAAAATGATGAGAGAAGAATCATAGAATCACTAAAGTGTGGAAGCAGGCCATTCTGAAGAGCATCCCTCCCAGACCCACTCCCCTACCCTAACTCTGCTATTCCCCTGGTTAACCCACAAAGCTAGCATACCCCTGGACACTATGGGCAATTTAGCATGGCCAATCCACCTAACCTGCACGTCTTTGGACAGTGGGAGGAAACCAGAGCATCCAGAGGAAAACCATGCAGGCATGGGGAGAATGTGCAAACTCCACACAGACAGTCGCCCAAGGCTGCAATCGAACTGGGGTCCCTGATACTGTGAGGCAGCAGTGCTAACCACTGAGGCACAGCTTTTGAAACATGGGTTTGATGGAGGAAGATTAGTATGCATTGGATGGACAGAAAGACAGGCTAATGGGTTGGATCAAGAATAGAAATTTAGGAATTGAAAAGAAAAGAGTATTGCAAAATCAGAAGAGGAGGAAGAAAACTTGTGTGAGTAGATAACAATGGTGTGTAGACTGGGGGAAACTTGAAGAAAACCAGCAAAGAAGCAAGGTAATGCCAATGGCCCCATTATGGCTAGTGATAACCAAAAGAAAAGTGAAATGAGGCACAGAACAGTTTTGTTTCATTTGAAGCATATGATGGGAGAATGATGTGTCATTAACCAAACTGAATTAAAAGAGCCAGGTTAGGCAGTGAAAAAAGGCAAAAATTACATTTTCAACAGATGGTTTGAGGTAGGGTAGGGGAGGACCACACAATGACAACTAAAATAGGTAGGCCTGTTGACAGCAGAAATATGCAATCAGCTTGGAAGGAAATATCTTACCAAATGTATCAGCAATTTCATTCATTCAGACTTAGACGCAGCTAGGGAGGAAGAGGGATTAGATCTGCTTACAAGAATTTCTGCTGAGTCACAAAATGAGAAAGAAAGTTGAAGTAATACCCAAAAAATGCAACATAAATAGAACTTGATATTTTTACAGGGAAGAAATGCCTTTCATGTAGATATTCTTACATAAGTTATGGAAATGTAAGCACAGATTTAGGCATTGACATGTTCAAAAGGGAGAGGGTTGTTGGAAATTGAGTGTATAAATTTGGCGTATTGAATACCTGGTACTGTAACATGCTCATGATGGCGTTGTACGAGATTACATTGAATCCAGTTAAACGATCACTGTAAGTAGGCCAACTGTTAGTCATCGGTTTAGGAATGTTGATGACATGGGTTGCTCAAAAGGTACAACTTCTGGATATAATTGGGCAAGATCCGAGTATAGGAACTGTTGATGAGTCATTGGATTGACTTTAGTTATTTAAAGTTCAACCCTTGGGAGGAGGGAGCATATAATCAGGAGTCTTTGACTCTTTCCGATTGTCAAGTAGAGAAGATTGAGGATAGCTTTCTTGTCTCTCTTCTCCCAATTAAAGCCCTTGAGTGTCCAAGTAATGCCTACTTAACAGCCTCATGCCACTGGTGCTGATATGCAAAATCTAGTGAACTTCTGTGAGGGTGAGAGATACCCTCCTGATCAGGCACTTTTCTGCCCACAGAAAGCACACCTCACTGGTGATTGGGGCTGCCCATTGCTCAAAGGGTGCCCGCTGCAACCCAGCATTGCTCTGGTCTGCATCAACTCACCTACATCACAGGGTCTTTGTTGCAGCAACAGTAGAGGCTATCAATGTGACTGAAGAATTGCTGGCTTTTGACTGGCAGTGACTCTTGGAGATGGCATGTTTAACAATATGGAGGCTTTGACAGTAGACAGCAATCTGCCCAAGTAATGCTTAACTTAATGGGGCAGCACGGTGGCTCAGTGGTTAGCACTGGTGCCTCACAGCGCCAGGGAGTGGGTTCAATTCCACCCTCGGGCGACTGTCTGTGTGGAGTTTGCACATTCTCCCCGTGTCTGCGTCCAAAGATGTGCAGGTTAGGTAGATTGGTCATGTTAAATTGCCCGTAGTGTTCAGGGATGTGTAGGTTAGGTGGGTTATAGGGGGATGCTCTGAGGGTTAGTGTGGACTTGTCGGGCCGAAGAGCCTGTTTCCACACTGTAGAGATTCTATGAAATTCTATTCTATGAAATTAACCCCATATGGAGTTCAAATAATGGCCACAGGGGACTGCCTCAGCTTTCCAACCTATGACTGGACCACCACATGGTCGTTATGTTCAGTCCATTGACTGAGGAAACAATAAAAGACCCAAACCAAGGCTGTAAAATGCTAAGTTGAGAGATTGGGAAATATGGAGCCAATTCCAACTGGAGTAAGGGGTAGACTAAGCTAACGACAGCAGAGTTTGGATCTGCCGAAGCTTATAAAGGATGGAGAACGTGCGGCTATGCAGCCAGTTTGGAGGCAAAAAGAGCACAAATGAGATTTTCAACAACCACACCATAATGATAAAAATGGCCAAGCCAGTTTATGGTGGCTGGTAATTTGACATTTCAATTGTCATATATTTTCTTCATGAAAATGTGGTGCTGTGGTTTGTGTATATTCTAGTTCTAGATTTCTTACGTTGCCCGTGACACACCAGCACGGCGATATTCCAAACTAGACTTTGCACAATAAATTGGTGTGTGACTGTTACTGGCTATGAGCTGCTTTGTGTTATCCTAGGAATTTTAACTGCAAATCTCTTCTTTATAAAATTGGCTTATCATGTATATTTAAATGATCTGTGTGATACTCGAATGGAGCTTCCCTTCTTAGAAACTAAAATTGTTAAGGTAATGGTAGAGCAAGTGAAGTTTCTGCAGCTTTTCAGGTTATAAACCAGATGATGGTTGAAGATTTTGCAACAAAACCTTGCTAAGTACCATCTTGAAGATACTCCATAAACCTTTTGGAGTTTGGATGGAAGAAATTACTCTACGCATTCTCAAATGTGCATGTTTAGACACTAACAATGCTTTTAAAAAAATTAAAGGTTAGTGAACAAAAGGCTTAAGCAGTAGAGAAATAGTAATTTCAATCATTTACACACTAAACAAAAGTAAATGCTGAATCACAACAAACGGATTTGTCCTGATGAGGATCAGCATTATGACGGAGAGAGGCAGAAAAAAGAAGTACCTATTCTGAACAATTACCTGAGCAATATGGCAGCACAACAGCACAAGTTTCTGAATGCAAATTCCAGTGGGTTTGAGCTCGTAAGTTGGAGTTGAAAGGATGAGGAAAATTTCATATCAACTTTGCACGGCAGAGTAAAATGGATGATAGCAAGTCAGCCACTCATTTTATGCATCCTCCAGTCACGTCAAAAGAAATTAATGAAATTGCAAGAAATACAAAACAGGTTACTGACTCATTATTACTCATGTAAAACTATGGCACAAAGTAGATACGTAACCCCGAGTGCAATAGCATTAATTCCCCTTTTCTACTGACAGGAGGTTAAACTATTGAGCTCATGCCAGGATTTTTGCTTACCCACAGGGCTGGTGCCTGCACCATTCGGCATTGTAAGGTCACCCATCATTCCACCTATAACAAAACAGAGGACAGATCCAGCTATCAATCAAATGAATTAGAAACACATTCTCAATTTATTGGCAATAAAACTGGTTCTAAATTTACTTTATGAAGACGGGTTGAAATAAATCAAGTTTTGTATGATTAACTGAAAATACATTCCTCTTAGAACATCGAGTAAGGCTCTTTAAAGTTGCATATTAAACTGATGGCATTTTAGCAGACTAGTACTCAATAGAACCTTCAAAAACAATAATATATGTTGAATAATATGTATGAGTAAACTCAAAGACAATACCTACTAACAGATTACAGCTATATATCAAGGTGCATGTACTACAGAATGGCTGTAACGTGTCTAAGCTTTTGATTAAATCACTATAAATTAACTGTAGTTGGGAAACAAAATTAGTACCACAAACTACTGTGAGGTTTATCTGTTTAATCGATATGTTAAAGTTACCACGTAATCTTTAACATTTCAAATGCTATTATGTAATCTATATCAAATTTGAGTAAGCAGCAATTTATCTACATTTCATTCAATCTAGTCCACTGTATTCACTGTTCTTAATGTGGTCTCTTCTACACTGGGGAGATGAAATGCAGACTCGGTGGCTGTTTCGCAGAACACCTATGTTCTGTCCGTAACAATGACTATGTGCTTCCAGCTGCCTGCCACTTCAACACACCATCATGTTCCCAGGCCAACATTTCTGTCTCAGGCCTGCTGCAGCGTTCCAGTGAGCCTCAGCACAAGCCTGAAGAACAACATCTCATTTTCTACTTCGGGACCCTGCAGCCTCTGGGACTCAACAGTGAATTCACTAACTTTAGAGCCTGATTCTGTCCTTCCATGTTTTTTCACCCATCCCCACACTCTGGTCCCATCAAGACATGAGTTGCTGTCAACACAGCCTACCTACTCTCTTCTACCCTTTGCTCTCATTAGGATTTATTTGACTTCTCTTCTGTCCTGGCCTTCTATCAATGATCTCCTTGTCTGCCTACCCCTTTCACATCTCTCTTTTTTTCTTTCTCTCTCCATGCTCTGTCTCCACCTATCCACTCACTTCTCGCTCCACACCCCTCCCAATCTCATCCAGCACAAATACCATTTTTTCCTATCTGCTATCAGTTCTGAAGAGGAGCCACTGGACTTGAAATGTCAACTCTTCTCTCTCCCCATAGATGCTGCCAGACCTGCTGAGTTTCTCCAGCGATTTCAGTCTGAGTTTCAGATCTCGAGCACCCGCAGATGTTTGTTTTATTGAACTTGAGTAGTTTGTCTAACTCAACAACTTTAAAATCTACTCTAAACATATAAAACTCAAAAAAGAAATTTTCACTTCTTTAGAAACTCATCACATACACATAATGTCCAATACTGCTTTTAATGTGCAGTCTTTTTTTTTTCTGGGATGTGGGTGCCACTAGCAAGTACAGCATTTGTTGCCCATGTCTAATTGCCCTTGAACTGAATGGCTCGAGGGGTCATTTCAGACAGCAGTTAAGAGTCAACCATATTGCTGTGGATTTGGAGTCCAATGTAGGTTAGACCAGGTAAGGAAAACAGAATTCCCTCCCTTAAGGACATCAATCAATGTTTTGTAACAAATCATAGTTGATGATAGTTGTCATGTTACTAACTCTATATTTTGAATTTAAATCAGTGAAGTTTGTACGTGTCCTTAGAGCATTAACCTAGATATGTGATTTACTAATACAGTGACATAACCGCTCCATGAATGGCTCCCCTGTCAGTGTCATTAAGCAGATATGACGACTGAGTTTCCCTCAAGGTCCAAACATCAAACGAATTATCAAATAATATTGCATGGCTTCCTTCATTGATACATTTTAATGTTGGTCGTGCCCTGAGATGTTGTGTGCGTCCCGCTGAACTGAGCTAAGCCCACATAGCTGTGCTTGCAAATGGACTGGTTCCATCCGGCTAGGAACCTTGGTTCCAAACCCACTGATCAACTTAAAAGAAAAGGCTGCAGCATGGCAATTATACCCTCCTGGTAGCCTGAAACAGCGCTTCCAGCCCCTCCAGTGAGAGAGGATTGGATTTCATATGATTGCCTGGCATTTCTAGCAGTCCCAGCAACTCAAAGGTGGGTGTTGCTGGGATGTCAAAAAGTCCTTCAGATGAAGAGGGCACAGCCACAGAGAGGCAGGCCTGGAGTTTTGAATGAGGATAGATCAGGAGCCTAGAGGGTGAAGGCGAGGAGTGCGGTGTAGCATTGTCTGAAATAGTTTTCAATAGCTTGCGTTCTGGTTTCAAAATTCTGTTGGGTATGTTCAGCTTGAAATATTACTTCAGTTCAAGATTTTAAACTGAACAAAGTCGAGTAGTTCTTTTTCCCCTAATTTCTATTGATAATGGATTCTTGCTTTCCAAAGTTTTTGCCTGTTCTTTATTTTGTCAGAATTCATTGATCCTTACTTTATAACTCCAGAGATTAAACAACAAAAGACAGCCGATTAGAAGATTAAAATCGTTACCCTTTTGACAAAGCTTTCATTAAGGCAGTAGTGATGATTATTGTTTATTTTGCTCCGTGACCCACTGAGGGCCTCTCCTTCGGTTTTCTAGGTCCAAAGTTCTGGAAATTCCTTCCATACACTTCTCCTTGCTTTCCTCCACCAAAATACTCTTCAAAACATACCTCTTTGGCAAAACGTTTGGTCATATTACCTAAAATCACCTTGCATGGCTGTGTCTAATTTTGCGTTTTACTGCTCTCTTGCTAAGTGCCTCGACACTCCCCATTATATTAAACGTGATACAACTTCTTAATGGCAGTTTTCTAGTACACAGCCTTGCCTGCTGGGAAGGCAAATGAGAATAAACTATCCACAATTTTCTCAACCGATAGATGATGCATGAAAATTCATGTGTGGCCCATGTACAATCTACCAACATGCTCACCCCTCACCCCCCACCCCCAAAACACTGGGCAAGGTACCCAAGTTGTAAGTGTGAAACCAGAAACTTATCTCACGACTATTTGGGGGTGATTTATGGCAATCTAAAACATATTTTTCTAATTCATGTGCTTATAGGTTCCTAATCCAAAGTAAAAGCTCTCTCGCTGTGTGCCATCTTTCTCATCACCTTACAGTGATGTGGTAATGTTCTATATCAATGCTGTGGCTGCAACAGTTAGATATCTAAGTATACCTGCACTACCAGCACTGGGTGGTCTCTGCGGAGCCCCTGGTGACACAACGTTTCTGGGCAGTGTAGCTTGAGGAGGCGAAAGCATGCTGGTATCTGTTAGAGATGTGGTTACCAATGAATGAGTTACAAGAGAGCTGCTTGGGTGGCTGTAGGTTAGATTATTTGGGTTGCTCACTGGAACTGCAACTGGCATTGCAAAGTTTTGCGGCGGCAAACCAGGCTGCAAAGAAATCAAAAAAGACATGTTACTTCAATGCTAATATACATTTCATTTCAACAAAAGAAACGGCAAAGATGTCTGTGATTAATTGAGTTTAGGATGTACTGAATCTTTTAAACGTACAAAAGTATAGCATTTATGATGAATTTGCACAATATCCTAAAGCAGTATAATGAGCATAGATTTAAACTCTGCCATACACAAGTGAACACAAAGGCAGGTACACACAATTTTCATCTGCCCAATCTTTTAAGCGTCGTTAGTCCTGGCTCCATCTGATACAACCAACATAGCAACAGTTACACTCCTCCCAAAATTGGTGTTAAATAGATCTTTCTGTTAGTTCACAAGCACTGGCTACCTAATGCACCCAGGGGCCAATTTTGTTTTTTTTTAAATTTCCCACAGTTCAAGGAGTGACAACCAGCCTATGAGTTTGCAATATGCTGCAGTGGCAGATAAGGTGCCCCTTCATTGATGAGCACTCTGGAAACCAACTTTCCAATACTTGAACTGGAAATAAACACTCTAGAGGCAATTTCTTCTTTTACATCATGTTCCTCAATTCTATAGAATTGAAGTATGAAAGCTGAAACAAAAAAATTGTCTAATTATTGAACCCAGAACAAAAAAAAATATGAGCTCCTGAACCAAGCACTTTGATGCATCACTGATAACCAACACCAAATAGTAAGAATAACGACACCAATTTAAACCACGTAAATAGGAAAAGAAAAATGCATTTTATTGCTAGCTATTAATCAGGTGTTATCAATAATTCATGAGCCAAAATTCTCCTAAAAATGCAATGCTTGCTAGATGTTACACAACAGTTTTCACATCAGTGTACATGTGGCTCAGAAGCCAGAGCATTTTTCTAGTTGCATTATCTATTTCCAAGTAAAGTCTTGACAAAGGACATTATGCAAACTATTCCATAAATAAGGTTAATATTTAAAATAGAACCAAGTCTTCTGGTACAGTGGTAGTGCTCCCCCTTCCCCTACCAGACCAGAAGGTTCAGTTTCAACTCCCACCTGCCATGGAGGTTTGCTATAACATGTCCAAAAAGGCTGATTAAAAGAACATAAAATAGAATCACATGTCGAATGAAATTATGTAGAAATCAGCAAGAATGGACAGGCTGAATAAAAACTCGTGTATGATATTAGTACATTACTATAATTTCACAACACAGAAACGCATGTTTCTCAAAAGCAGCACACAATTAAAAAACAAGATGTGACATAGCACATGCCATTTGATAGACAGACTGAGATGTTAAAATTCTTAACCAGGTCCTAAACAAGAAGTCTGCAATCATAAAAACAATGAAATATTTCATGTAAATTTAAAATGGAACTCTTCTCACAAGCAAAATTATGAAAAAATGAAAACTTTGCAAATGATTATTTGCAATTAAAATAACGAACATTTCAATACAGCTGAGGAAAAAGATAGAGATTCATTTGGACTTTAATTGTATTTAGCCTGAAGGTAACTTTAAATGGTATGAATTGCATACATTAATTTTCTAGAAATATTTTCAGAAGTTGCAATAAAATTTGGAACAGTTGTTAAACTCTAATTTAAAAACAAGTCGGAGAAGCAATCCTAATTCTTCAAAATTTGGACTTAATGTAGGCTATGAGGGTTTCACTTACTGGTTGGAGAATCAAAGTCATTTCCATGCACCCCCCACCCCCCAAGTTGAGATGGTGCCTGAATCTTTGTACATTGAATTAACCCCATTCCTGCCCTACTGATCAAAGGCCAGGGGTGGGGAGGGTGGCTCTAGGCATTCTCCCCCTCTTACCCAATGAAGGTTTCCTTGTTCAGGCACAGACAGCAAATGCAAACCCCCTCCACCCACTCCAACAACAGTGACATCCTGTCACGAGCTGGTGAGGTTTTTCAGACCCGCCCCTCCCACTTCAAACTTAAATGCAAGAGATTTGCCTGCTGATGGAGGACTGAGGTGCAGCAACTTCTGGGATCAAGTGGGCCATGAGAGACTGGATTAAACTCCACCCTATGTTTCTACTAACAAAATTCTTGGGCTGAACCCTGGATGTTAACAACATTTTCACACAAAATGATCCAGTGGATTACAAAAAAAGGGAAAGAAAGAGCTAGGCCCTGCAGTTGAACACATTGCTATGAATTAAAATAAAATGGTTTTGCTAACTTTTTTTTTGCTTTTAGTCTTGCAGACATCAATTAAATAAACGGAAATATAAAACTGACATCAGGACATTGACAGATTTGCTTGGAAACTCCACATTCGAACTTTATGTAATTACAGCTTTAAACTTTATTACACCATGACATTTTTGATTACATTCTTTAAAGGATTGCTTCTGGATGAATCATTTTGAATGACATGAAATAAAAATTCACATTGGGTCTACTAGTCCGAAAACACCCACCCATGAGCAGCTGGCAATTTGACAATTATAAATCAATATCCCCTTGTCTTTGATGTCACTCCCAACCCCTACGATATCATTTCCTCTTCTCCTGAGGAAGTGACTCATGCTGAAGCATAGCTTTCCAGACAACCACCTGGGCTCAAGTGTTTATTTCTCAAACATAAGGCAGGGCAGTGAGTGTTAACAGGTCCCACAGCAGATCCCAACCACATCCTCACTTCCTAGCCACACATATATAATCCCAACAATGGTTAGTAGATTTCAGAACCCTATCCAATATTTCCATGTAACTTTAACACTCTCGCCTGGCCCAGCAGGAGAACAAATCCAGAAAATTAACGCTCTCGCAAAATTGATGCATTTACCCACTGAGCCAGCAGATGTCATTTTGTGGTATCAAGTGCAATTTGGACTCAGGAGTTGATATATACAAGGGTACTCTTTTAGGTCTTCACCCACTATTGTGTGAGCAGAATGACAATAATTGATAAACCCTAATTTTGTTGCAGAAGAGCAATTAAGATTCGAATAGAAACAATTTTGTTAACAAGATATAAAATTGCACTAATTGTATAATGAGTTGTTTTAACAAGGCCAATTATTTTATCATACAGTTTTCAAAATGCTGTCCCCGATCAGCTAACACCTTTGATTTACATACACCCAGACAACCTTGGCTCAAAATAGTTTCTAAATATATTCTTCTACCACCACCACCACCACCATTAGGCACTTAACCTTTCATGCAGCCACTTCCATGGAATGTTTCATTCTGTTTTATATACAATAATGTAAGGGGCAGGAGCACAATTCAAGGATTCAGCAGTACCTGCAATTAATTTAACTTTTGACTCTGCATTCTCTGTTTAGCAAATGGGATTTATTTATGTGAAGGAATTTGGTGGAACAAGTTGAACTTTTACCATCAGATTTGTAAAACTTATCACTTACTGAGTTTTAAATTAGGCCAGAAAGAACTTTTCAGTTTCAACACTTTAAACTTCAAAGTCCAGGCTGGAGTTCCATAAATTTTCAGATGTAATTGAGAAAAGACACATTCTCCCAAATGCAACACAACACCTTATGGAAACTCTGGATCAGCTTGGCACACACCATGTTCAAACTATAAATGTTAGAGTGAATTTTTCTGTATATTAATTCATAGGAGTTATTATACTTCATGGTGATAATGAGTTGTGAGATGGAAAATCACAATATTGCTGGAGGTGTGTAATAACTGAAATGACACAGTATGAAATGGGTGATTCATTCCAGCCACGGTAATTTGAATGAGTTAGTTCTGAATCAGCTCATGAAATTAGGTACATGTTTTGTGAATTAGGTCTCATTCTGTGTTGCTTCACGCTCTGTTCGGTTGTCTTCATGCAGCCTTCTTCAGTCAAAGAGCAGGCAATTGGGTAGCAAGGAAATCAAAGTCTTCCCAAGCAAAAGGGCTGCATGCCAAAATCTACTTACTGCGAGTTTGTGATTCCTCATCATGTTATCAAACTCTTCATTTATTTTTTTATATTTTTCCTCTGTGTGTGGGGTGAGCACGTATGATGAGTCAGGCTCTGGACTGTCGCAACCTCTGTGTTCTTTCTTGTTAAGTGCCTAGCAGATTTAAAGAATCAACACAAAGAATACCAGATGAAGGTACTTACACCATAGCGCTTGAACATTACATCATTATCTTCATTAAGCTTTCTGTATTTGTCCTCCATGAGCGGACTGTGCTCAAAAGAATCATCTGGGTCTGGGCTATCACAGTCATTATGTCCTTTCTTTCTTAAGGTCTGAAATACAATTGGAAAATTCACACACAACTACAAACCTGCCATAACAATAACTGTTCAATAACTGAATCCCCCTAGTCACCACCGCAACGCACCCCCAAAATTTATCCATTCTTAATGGGCATCTTTATAAATCTGGAATTAAGTCTGAAAGCAGCAGCCTTTACACCGAAGAGAGGAAAATGATTTAACTACATCAAAATTAATTGCAGGTTTTAACATTGACATTCATTTATTGTTCCATTGTTTAAAAAGGGGAGGGAGGCTTTACCTTCTTGATCTCATTTTCATTTAGAAACTGCAGAATGAAATTCATTCCATTCTCTTTCACTAAGATACAAGAAGATTACAGCAGCTGTTTAACAGTAGTTGCCATAATCACAAAGGACCACAGGGCTGCTCCCTCATTAGATAGAGGCAACAGGTGGTGCGTTTAGCCTGAAGGTCACCATGCCTCGGGTGAAGGGTGAGGTTAAGAAGGAGGGATCTTCACGGTGACCTCAGCCGACATGGGAATTGAACCTGTGCTGTTTGCATTGCAGCATTGGAAACCAGCTGTCCAGTCAACCGAGCTAACTGACGACAGAGTTAAATCACAAACAAATTTACAAGTTCCCTTAATTTGGTCACATTTCACATCATGTGAAACTACGTTCTAGGATTGTTTACATGAATGGCTCAGAGTTGAAAGGAAATGTTATTCACACTCTATTTAAGGAAGGGACAAAAAATAAAGATGGTGAAGTGTGGTACCTTGCTTTCGATATGCAAACTTGCTTTACACATGGGTGAAATTCTTCATTATCGTACATTTTTAATACAATCTGACAGCATAAAAATAGGTCAGCGCAAAATGGTTGGAGCCAATTATTTGCATGATGGAGCATACTTGTAGCTGTCACAATGCACAAATATGATTTAGTGTGTTAGGAGCTTATAAACAAAAAAGAAAACAAAAGGCATACATTAATAACATTTATTCTGGAAGTTCTGGCAGTAGAGATTCAAATTGAATAGAAGTGAGAAATGGGTGACATCACATCAGGAGTCAATGATGTGTGTTGTACATTCAAGTCAATGGAACTGAAACAAAGCACTAAGTGTTGCATATACCAGTCAGGTCACATAATGCTACCCATTTTTGCTACTTTCTGAGACAAGTTTCTACTCCTTGATGTCTTAATGCATACCAGAACTCTTTAGAAATTCAGATAGCCAATAGACTTCCCTGCCAGTCACTATGAACAGGAAAATTTAGTCAATGCCCACTATATTTATTTCCTTGATCTTGCAGATCAGACATAATTTATAAGTAAGAAAGGATTCTTTTTAAGAAAAAGACTGCATACAATTCTGACATTTAGAAAGATTCCAGAGTTGGCAGCAAGTTGTTCCAGTTCCTGAACCACAAGAGCTTGTATTTATTTAGCATAATGAATGTAGTAACAGAACAAACTATTCCAAAAGAGTCTCACAAGAGTGCTAGCAACCAAAATTTGGCATCAAAAGACATAAGGAGATTACGACAGGTGACCGAAAGCTTGGTCAAAGGTTCAAGGAGCTTCTTAACTGACGAGAGAGGAGGAGAGGCTTGGAGAGGCAAATACAGAGATTGTCTATCAATGGCATAAAGATTAAAATAGGGATAAGTAACATTTGAGAATGAAGGGGTGCAGAGATCTTGGACATAACAGATTGGGTTTGGGGATGGTGGTGAGGTAGGGGCAAAGCCAACAAAAGCTTTGAAAATAAGGACAACAATTTTAAATTTAAAGGCGTAACCAAGCTATTGTAAATAAAACTTCGTTTAGCAGGTATAGCATTTGCACAGCAATTCTAATTATTTAAGGAAATAAATTATGAAGTTTCTGATGCTTTGCAATAGGACGGAGATTTTTTTGACAATGACAACCTCTTCTTCTTATGAGTTTACAACTATTACTTAGAAGACTGGATGAGCAGGATCAATAATCAACATGTAGCCCAAGATCAAAGTAAAAATTAATCTACTGGTGAAGGGTAACATTTTCTCAATTTCAGTTGAAATGGTTTTGTTGAGTGAGATTCATAGCCCCGAATCTTGCCTGGTTTGGAGCAAGCTCTCTTGCTCAACCTACCACTCTTCACTTCATTAATTAAGCAACTCAGCTCTTGGGCACTGTCCTTGTGGAACTGCGCAGGCAGAGGAGTGGTCACTCCTCAAACACCTGTCATTGAGAACTTTGGTGCCATATTTGAAGCCCAGGTGCACACCACTTCAGATGCTGCAAGCTCAGAACTGGCCATTATTGTTTTGTTTCATTCATTTGTGATGTGGGTGTCCCTGGCTAGACCAGCATTTATTACGATTCCCTAACTGCCCAGAGGATAGTTAGGAGTCAACAACATTGTTGTGGGGCTGGGGTCACATATAAGCCAGACCAGGTAAAGATAGCAGTTTCCTTCCCTAAACAGCATTATTAAAACAGAAGGGTTTTTCTGACACAAAAACAAAGGTCTGGCAGCATCTGTGGAGGAGAAAACGGAGTTAACGTTTCGGATCCGGTGACCCTTCCTCAGAACTGATTTACAGCATCCGCAGTTCTAAGGGGTTTTCTGACAATGGATTCGTGATCATCATTAGATTCCAGATTTTTGTTGATTTCAGCTGTCATAGTAGGATTTGAACCCAGGTCCCCAGAACATTCCTTGAATTAACAGTCAACTAATAATTAGCACTAGGACATTGTCTTGTGTTTTACTGACATCACGAGGAATTGGCCCAGAGGAAAGCCTGCTCTATGCTTTGCAGACATGGAGCTGAAGTGTTGGCAGTCAGCGAGATGGAGAGGTATACCTTTTCCCATGGACAACCACAAGAGGCTGCACCATCAGACCAAGCCAGACTGGACCCAAACTGCAGCCCAGGTCTGTGCCCTGGGCGAAGCAGGACACCTAGCAGTTCAGAAAGAAGTTCAAATATCTTCTGTGCTCCAGGGGCAAGTACCACCATTTTCTCTCTGTTACCTCACACTCAAAAGACCACCAACCATTAATTCTCCTAATGCACACACCTCTCAATATGGGTCACAAAAGTACGATTTTTTCTATTGAATGCATCATGCCTAAAGTATGCCGTACTGCCCTCTGTGCTTTCTGCTCAGTCAATGGGGACACAACAGCACTTCTCCTGCTCCTGCATCACCACCACCCATCATCTATCCACTTCCAACAAATTTAATCTCACCCTTTGTGGAATTATTGGAAAAGTTGGTCACCTCTCTGAATTGATGTCTCCACAGGACCCCATCTGACCTACCGGGAATCCATGGACTAGTTCAGCTTGGCTGTGGCCCAACTGCAAGGATGTGGATTTCTGGGCTCTGATAGGACCAAGTGCCTCAATGACCATGGACATCCTCATGGACTGGAACAAGATGAGCTCCCTGACTGATTGTGTGGTGTCTCCTGACTGGTCATAGTACTCTTTCACCACACAAAGGTCTGCTTCCCTTTGATTTTCACACATGGCCATTTGCTTGAAACACATGCAGTTTGTCTGCCATGTAAACTGCTGGTATATGCTTCAGGTGTGATGTTGCTGCTACATAGTACAGTCTAATAGCATACCCACCAAATTGACTGTTCAGTGCTCCCCACTGCAAGAGGTTGCCTACCTCTCCCTTTGCACTTAAAGGCAATACAAGACACAGAGGCTGGCAGCCTATGATTAAACACAAAAAACCCTGTGAGCTGACAAAGCAATGGGAAGTAGACAGAAACAGGCATCCTTCAACCATGTACAAAGTGAGTGAGTGCTAGGAAAGCAAGCTAAGGGCCATTAGACACATCCTGCACAGTTGCACAAGATGCAAGAAAATCCCAATGTATAATCAACCCAGCGAAAGCATACAAATCATAGGTATCCCAAAATAAAGAGTTAAAGGGATGAAGTGGTGTGAGAGTTGGTCTGAGGGACAGCACGATGATATTGTGAGGCTGGTAGTTCGCCAACACCGACTTCTATGGAAAAAGGGTCAAGATCGAGGAGGATGGTGGCCTTGGAGCACACAGGGACATTGTGACAAAGCAGAAACCAGAATTAGCAAATCCGTGAGCTGCAGCCATCAGGTATCCATCCATCAGGAATTTGTGCCATCTCATTTCTTGAGGACAGGAGCACAGAGTGGTGCAGAAATAAGATGCACTGGGGCTTTAATGAGGTGCAAATGCATGAAAGTAAGGTAATTGCTGCTCAATGATGAGAGTCTAAAGTTTCCTTTAAAGGCTCGAGGGAAAAAAAATTGCAAATATTTTTCTCACAGCGAGTTTCTAATTTTTTTCATGCTTTCAGAATCTTCCCACTTTTCTTGCCAATGCTCACGCCACACAAGGGTGGGGAAATATTTCACATTAATATTTTATAAAAATGGGATACATTCTTCACTGGAGACAATGAGAAATTGAAATGCAGTGCTTTTAAAAGAAAAATTGGAAGATGAGGTGATCAATTATCAGAAGTTACAAACGAAACAACAGGTACAGAGTTAGGAAAAGGACAAAAAACCCTCTGCAGACTATAATCCAGGTTACCTACAAAACTCACATTTTTGAGCTTTCTGCATCTGAACCAACAATGGCTCAATAACTAACAATGGCTCAATAACTAAGTCATTAGTATATTAGTAACAAATCAGAAACTTACATGTTATTATTTTTGACCTATATATGCATTAGTTTAGTATATGAAGTTTCCTCTTCAGAGTTCACCTTGTATACATGCAGTATAAGAAAATGGAATAAAGTTAACCAGATTGAACAACACACAAATCTAAGGGGAAAGAGCAAGCATTCCCCCATCTGCACAACAGCCAGCGTATTTAGTGATTTCTGTTCATAAAACATGAGCTCAAATTTCAGAAAAAAAATGATTTATACTTGCCCTTATTCTTCTTTCCAAGAAATTCTTTACATAATATGCACAGAACACTGATTCTATCTGTAATTTATGCAAATGAATG